TTTTGTATTGTTACTTTTTAGATAAGCTTGATAGTAACACTATGCTTGTATTCCATTAGAAGTTGATGGTATTGTGGCGAGATAATATATAGCGGAAGGAGCTGAGAAGACGGCCCAAGAAATTGTTCACGAGGTGCTTGGTCAAAAATCTACTTATCTAAAGGGACTTGGTTATCACACTACTCACCTAAATAAACGTACTTATGCTCCAACCAGTCAATACCTTCGAAAGGAGCTTCAGGACACACAAGAAAAGCTACAAGAATCAGAATCACGAGTGAGTGGGCTCAAGGAACAAGTTAGTGACTTCAAGAATTTGGTGGGCCAACAAGGTGCAAATATTGACAAGCTTATTGCATTTATAGCTTCCAATGAAAATAATATAAGGTAAGCAGTTGTATGTAAACAATGATGCTCATTTTTTACTTTGTGAAATTATGTTTTGATAATTAAAAATATATGTGCTATTTTAAAGATTTATATTTACAGGTGATTGCTCTCTTTTGTGAATGAATGCCGATGGATTTAACAAGACTTTTCCGATAATGTGTAATTCAGCAAAATTAAAAAATAAGCCTATGCAAGTTGGAGATTTGTCTATTAACTATTTATTTAGTGTTTTTCACTTAATATTCCAAGTACTATTGTTTTTGTTTTCAATTATGAATACTTCATATTATTCCTTCTATTCATACTCATTATCTTCAAATATGTTGTTATTTCATATCTAATTTACTGGCTAATTGCAATAGTATTATCTGAAGGGAATGATATGAAGTATTCATATTTAAAAACAAAAACAATAGTACTTGAAATATTAAGTGAAAAACACTAAATAAATACTTAAGAGACAAATCTCCAACTTATTTTCTAATTTTGCTGAATTACATATTATCGGAAGAGTCTTGGTAAATCAATCAGCATCCATTCAGAAAAGAGAGCAATCACCTGTAAATATAAAACCTTTAAATTAGCATATATATTTTCATTTATCAAAGCATATTTTCACAAAATTAAAAATGAGCCCCATTGTTTACATTGAACTGTTTACCTCAAATATTTCCGTTGGAAGCCATGAATGCCATAAGCTTCTCAATATTTGCACCTTGTTGGCCCATTAAGTTCTTCATGTCATTAACTTGTTCCACGAGCTCACTCGCTCGTGATTATGATGCTATTAGCTTTTCTTGAGTTTCCTGAAGCTCCTTTTCCTTTTGAAGGTATTGGTTGGTTGGAACATATATGCGTTTATTTAAGTGATTCGTCTGATAACCAAGTCCCTTCATATAAGTAGATCTTTGACCAAGCACCTCGTGAACTATTTCTCGGTTCGTCTTCTCAGCTTTTCCAACTGTATATTTTTCTCTCCTCGATACCATCAACTCCTGATGGATTACAAACATATATCATGCCTATCTAAAAAATAACAATACCAATATGAAAGTGTGAGTTACCAATTTTCTTTTGCCTCGTCAGTTAACCAACCATGTTTATCAGTGCAATGTGTGAGTTTGTAGAACTCAATTATGTCCCCAGCATCTCCATTAACATCCTTCTGAGCCTAGTAAAGAATAAAAATAAAATGTACAGGATATGAACCTATTAAAATATTATGCTTATTTCTCCATGGCGTAATATGTAATATTGTAAAACATAATTGCATGTTTAGAACTTACAATTTCATGTTGAAGTGTAGAAAAATGAGTTTTGCCAGATATAAGCGGGGTACTTAACATTTTTCGATTCACAGTGTTAGTTGAACTTTGGTGCTGAAAACAAGAAACTGCAACATAGGAAATATTCCCAAAATATATCAATAAGAGTACCAATATCAAGAGATGTTATCTTGAACTTAGTTGATGCAAAATAATCACAGAGTTCGTCCCAATTTTCTTTACTAGCACAAAATGATGGCTTATTATTCTTAGCCTCTTGTGGGGTTGCATACTTGTTGTAATACTTATGTAACCTGTAACGAATTTGTCGAGAATTAGATTTCATCCCATCAACCAAAAGTGCCTCAAACCCGATACATCCAAGTTGACATCCATATGAATCTGAACATCACATTTAACATATTTTTACATATACAAGAAAAGAAAACATGTCATTTTTATTCTTATTTTATAGTTACCTTTATATAATCAATGTCTGGTTCCAACCATTCCTTTCCATTTTATTGGCACTGGAGGACATCTCGAGCTACTACACCAATTGGACTTGAGAGCTTTGCAGATTGCTCTCGAATTTTGGGCCGTCCTATCAGTGTATCCACATCTATCTTCAATTTCTTTCTAGAGGCATCAAATGCATTCATAATTCCCTTACCCATTGTTGGACCACATCTTCTCTTAGGGATGGAAACTTTGTCTGGTAACAAAGAACATTACATTACATTAATAGAGGACACATATACTAGTTCCTTTGCAACCATTTCATTTAAAGTTTTTAAGATTCAAACTCATTTATAAATCAAAGTACGATTGTGCAACAAAAATGCGACAGTCCAAAATAAATTTATGGTTTTTCTTACTAATGTGCCTACACAAATATTTCCAAGAACGCATGAATTTTTATATATTCCCTGTTCATTAACAGCGTGCACAAGCACAACTCCAAATTGCACCAGCTACCTGCATACACAACAAAATATCCACAAGTCACAGCATGCACAATAAGCACACAAAAAAAAAAAGTCAGAATGCACAACAATAAAAATTAAGAATATTCATGGTTCCAAACATGACATGACAATAGTAATTCCATAACAATTCATGTTGATATTGTTGAAATCAATATTCGAATCGACCGGAGAGAATTTTATGGGGACACCATTGTTTTTTAGAGAAAATATCTGGAGCTTACACTTATAAAAGGAACAAGACGATAAGATATATCTCACGTCCGTACATGCATCCACGTTACCAAGCAAAAACGACAACGTTTCGATAAGTAAAATATAATGAACAAAAAAAGGGGAAAAAAGGAAACACGCCTTAGTAAGTAAACAACAACAACAAAGTCCATATAACGAAAATAACAGAAACAACAACTATTCCAATGGCAATTACTATTCACTGGAAAGAGCAACTATTCCAACAATTATCCTAAGTTAAAGACATATTGTACCTGCAACTATTCCAACAGTTATCCTAAGTAAAAAACATATTGTACCTTTGATTGATGTATCCTAAAGGTTACCAGTTGAGCCTTCAGCTGCATTCAAATTCAGATTTTGGTTGGAAGCTTCAAGGGTTTGTGGAATGCCTTCAGCTGCAGCTTTACTTTGAAGCCAACAGTTGGTTCCATAGTGGAGTCAACCTTCTATATACAATAAGTAAATCATACCATATTATATTAATATGGTATGGTTTACTTGTTGTATATATAGAATATGGTATGGTTTACAGTATTAGTAATGATTTACATTTACTAACCCAGCTTCCCATAAATAAACATTATAGTTTTCACACAGCGATAAACAATTGTCAAAATCTATATATATATATATATATATATATATATATATATATATATATA